AAAAAAGATATTGACATAGAGATTTCAAAACTAGTCACTTTGAGCACCTCAATACTTGTATTTCTGCGTATGGAACGAAAGAAATGGGTCATGTCAAAATGGAAGCACCCGGTTTTGTCAATGTGTACAACCCGGTTTTGTCCTAGATTTCACAAGGCAGATCCCGGTTTTGTCTAAGAAAAAAAAAGGCATAATCGCATAACATAATTGAACTTCATCAATTAAAAGGAGTTTGGTGGCTGGTTGGAAAACGATTTCTTACAGAGGACAACTTATTATTTAATTGAATCTGTAAACACTTGAATTCCTACTTTATTGGAACAAAAATAGTTATAATTATGTTTTGCATTTAAAAAAAATACTCTAACTGCGAAATAGATAGAAATGAAGGTTAAACCGCAAATTGAGGTTCAAGCTCTCTATACGTTTTTTTTTTATATGAATTATGTAAATTTTAGTGTTTAAGGCCACACCAATTTGATTAATAGTTATTTGGATTTTCCCGCTCCTGTTTTGGAGAAATTGACTTTTCAATAAAAAAAAATAATTACCGCTTCCGCCAATTTTTGGGCCGCATGCCGCTACAAAATTAGTTTATCCTTGACATTTTTTTTTCTCTTAGACGTTTTTCTCGTGCATATATTGCTCCGAGCGATTCAAACGCACGTGTGATAAATCGATTTGTAAATAAAAGGTCAAAAATCGGGATGCCAACATAAAGTTGTGTCAGATCATTGCCGAGGACACGTAGTTATTAAACACACAGTTATTTGAAATGCATTTCGTTTTACCTGTTCTAGGAGACAAAAATGAAAAAAAATCTTTCGTTAGATGACCACGATCACATCAGTACTTGTTAGAACCATTGTCATCCCCGATCATTGTTTCAACAGACATAGTCCGAGATTACTCCGACGTCCAACAGCTGTTGCCAGACAAGAGGGGGGGGGGGGGGGCAGGGGCTGTTGTCCCACGGCCCTAGCTTGTCTAGCCGTTGGACGTCAGAGTAATCTCGGACTACAACAGACATAGACATCTAGAGCTATCTGTCTTGGATGAAATTAATATTAAATGCACATGAATTTTTGAAAAATGACAGATTTATCTTATTTTAATGAAAACTCCATATCCCCTTGTTAGTCTATTGACATGCAATCAGAACTCTTTTGTAAGGGAAGATTTAAGAGTTCCAACATTTGAGACCACAGTGGTGGTATTGGGATTGGCATGCTAATAATAATTAGGGATGTGTTATTGGTGCAACCACTTCCAGTTTGAAATACATTGCAGGTTTCAGGGTCAAAAGGAAAAAGTATTTTGCTAAGTCAGAAAAATGCATGTGAATGTGGTTCAATGTATTTTAAGGGAATAGATATAGCGGAAGATGTGGTATGAGTGCCAATGAGATAACTCTCCATCCAAGTAACAATTTATAAAAGTAAACCATTATAGGTCAAGGTACGGCCTTCAACACGGAGCCTTGGCTCACACCGAACAGCAAGCTATAAAGGGCCCCAAAAATTACAAGTGTAAAACCATTCAAACGGGAAACCCAGCGGTCTAATCTATATAAAAACGAGAAACGAGAAACACGTATGAACTACTGTACATCAGATTCCTGACTTAGGACAGGTGCAAACATTTGCAGCGGGATTAAATGTTTTAATACATTGAGATCTGCATGCATAGCAATATAATTATCTTACTCAGGATGTTGTGGAAATATTCACCTCACTCATTATGTTGATCCTAATATGGATAAATAGTTCCAACTGGATGTCAAGCAGCCAATAAACAATCATTACCATATAATGAAAACAACTATATCAAAAGATATTTAATATTTTTCATGGGCATTTTTTTTTTTTTGGAATACATACACATATTTTAATTGTATTCAACACATTTCATTTACCTAACTAACATAATTCCTCTTGCTAAACTGCATCTGATATGCTTCCTTAATATATACACATGTATGAATTTAAATGAAAAATTCACGCAGTCAAGCTTATTTGACGAAAATAATCAAAATTATACTAAACCAAAGCGAACCGAAAAATTGGGTATGGTACAGACTGTACTACAGGCACAAATATATCAACTTATATGCATAAGAGCATGTTTATCTTCCTTTTTCTTTGAAGTAACCCAGTTTTAACATGTACAAATATTCTAAATCGCACAATTTAAAAAAAAAAAGTATACCGCTCGCTCCACTTGTAGAGCACCCGCCTCAACAACTCACATGACCCCGCTTGTCAACAAAGATGGCCGACATGGCTTAAAATAGAACATAGGGGGATGCAAGTTTTGTCTATTATTTGAAAACAGCTATAGAGAGAGAAAATTTAACAGGGGCAGATATGTTCATAATGTTGAGCTCTACCTTTTGTCCGTACACATCAAAACTCTCACACGAATTCTTATAGAAGTTAAATGTCCTTGAATGACAAATTTCTCCTTTTTTTCCATTTTTGTCTATTATCTTGAAATATATAAACGTTTTATAGCAAAAATGATCAGCAAGACAATATATACGAATAAGTCGACTTGGCCGATATCCTTGTAAGAATTATTGACCTTTAATTACGATTTTTACCATGTCTTTGCGTTTTTGCCAATTATCTTACAAAAATCTTCTCCTCTTTAACAATTTAATCAAACTTGGCCACACGCTTTATTGAGGTATCTGGTTTGAAAACCTACATGATCAGCCATTTGTAAATTAATTTTTGGTTTCAGGGTACCAATATTAACGTTTCTTTTCATAAAATAAACAAAACCGGATTCTATACATAGACAAAACCGGGTCATTGTGTAGTAAACAACATTGACAAAACCGGGTGCTTCCATTTTGACAAGACCTATTTCTTTCGTTCCATACGCAGAAATACAAGGATTAAGGTTCTCAAAGTGACTAGTTTTGGAATCTCCATGTCAATATCTTTCTTTTAATACCTTTCTTTCCGTACCATGTGAACAATTTAAGGAGAAATTAAACAAATTCAAAGCAAGGTTCACTCAATTCGACATTTTGACGTGCATTTTTACTTATTTCTCCGTTAATCTAGAACGGTTGTAGAAAATATTACATCTTACAATAGAAAACAGTTATATATGTATAAATATTCTTCGATATCATAACAATAACAAATAGATAAGCAGAAAACTACCTTTTCTCTATCTATTGATGTTCCGTCACCGTGCCGGATATTAGATACCACCGAGTCCAAACATTTTTTGCCGAGGTAGTTTAGACACAGTGTAGATGTAATGATCGTTTATTATCTACTAACCAGTCTGAACATTTTTGTCGAGCCTGCGAATTTTGTCGCAAAAGCGAGACATAGCGATCCTACATTCCGTCGGCGTCGTCGTCGTCGGCGGCGGCGGCGTCCAAAATATTCACACTGTGGTTAAAGTTTTTGAAATTTTAATAACTTTCTTAAACTATCCTGCATTTCAACCAAACTTGGACAGAAGCTTGATTATGTTCATAAGATAGTATCCAGAAGAAAATTTTGTAAAAAAAAATCCTGTTTTTCCGTATTTTACTCATATATGGACTTAGTTTTTCTGCCAGTTAACATAACATTCACTCTGTGGTTAAAGTTTTTCAAATTTGAATAACTTTCTTAAACTATCCTGGATTTGTACCACACTTGGACAGAAGCTTTGTTTGTGGTCATAAGATAGTATTCAAAAGTAAATTTTGTTAAAAAAAAATCCTGTTTATCAATATTTCACTTATAAACGGACTTAGTTTTTCTGCCAGTTAACATTACATTTACTCTGTGGTTAAAGCTTTCAAAATTTTAATAACTTTCTTTAACTATCCTGGATTTGTACCACACTTGGACAGAAGCTTCTTTATGATCAAAAGCTAGTATAATTTATCTAGAAGGAAATTTTGTAAAAATTTGTTTCCTGTTTTTCCGTATATTACTTATAGATGGACGTAATTTTATTCCAGTTAACATTACGTACAGTCTGCAGTTAAAGTTTTTAAAACATTTATTAGATTCATAAACCTTCTTGGATTTTTATCAAACTTGAACAGAACTTCTTACAATCAAAAGATAGTATCAAGAGGAAAATTTTTTAATAATTTTTTCCCCATTTTCGTTGAGCCTGCGACTGACAGCAAAAGTAGGCGAGACAGGGGTTCCGCGGAACCCTTACGAATTTTTGTATTTTTCTAGAACTGTTCCCAATTTTGTAGAAATAATATTTGCATTTTTACAACTTATAAATGTCATTTCTTCTTTTTTTTTCTCACCATAAGCTAGGAGGGGACGGCCATTTGATATTCTCGAGGGCGGAGCACAGGAGGATTATATTTCTGAATTGATCATTTATTTTCATCTGTTGCTGTGCATGCTTATTTTTTGGCTGCGCGAAAATTCATTTCGATTTATAAATTTGTACTCATTTGTATCCTCAACTATCCTGCATTTTTTTTTTTTTTTTTTTTTGCAGAATATAGAATTTCCATCCGACGGCGTCTTGTGCAAAGTCATTTATTTTTAGTTCGTTTTTAATACCAGGCCACTGAAGTTATTCATTTTCAAAAGATTCTCCTGTATATAGATATGTTTGCCTATGTGTAGTGACAACTGTAAATTATACCTTCTCCATCGGATTTCTTATGATAAAGAAATACCAGGCGTTAGAATATGCATAAAGTGCCTAGAAAATCTACCTACCAATGTTAGAGTAGATTTGAATCTTTACTTCCTTCCCAACAGCAGTGGCGGATCCAGAGGGGAGGGGGTTCCGGGGGTTGGACCCCCCCCCTTTTTTTCTTGACGATCAATGCGTTTGAATGGGGATATATAGTTGGAACCCCCCCCCTTTATCCTGGGTTGGGAACCCCCCCCCCCCCCCCCCCCTTTTAAAAATGGCTGGATCCGCCCCTGAACAGGGGCTGGAACCTGTACTATTCACTTCTCACTTCTACGACAACACCGCCTAGACAGCGCAGACGCCTTGTCCCCATATATATATATATATTCATATATATTGGCTCCATATCATTATTACGGAAACTATAATAACAACAATGTCGATTATATCCTTAAATTTAATCCCAGAACCTCTCCTGATCAAATACAATTTTGCAGAAGACGCTTAATTTAATATTTGTCATACTTTAAATCGATTTTATATGTGTACATATAGTAATCAACTCTACCTGTAAAATAAACAAACAAAGTGTATATAAATATATATGTGGTTATGTGTGAAGATAAACATATACAGAACTGCACCGTCTATTACGGGTTAAAGTTGCATTAAGGTAAGGAATTTACTGAACGGTTTATACCCATCATGATCTGGCTAGTAGCTACATTTTGAAACAATATTTAAAATTGTCCGAAACTTTTTCTTGTTTAAGAAACCTAAATTTAAAGAGGAAGAAGGAAGTATAAAAATACATATAAGTTAACCTGACCGATAGCCATTTTCCGATTGTTCGTCGTTGGACGGATAATCTATATTTCTGAATACACTACCCGTTGCAAAAGGAGGATGGGTGGGGGGGGGTCTCAGAAACTGGTTCAATCTAATAAAAATGAGATATGAGTTTTGTCTATGCTCCGAGTAAAGCGAGTCACGGTAGGTCGAAATTTCAATCAAATGAAACATGTTAAAAGCAACATGGCATAATGTACGGAAAATCCTTAATCAAAATCGAACACAACAAAAATAGGGGAAGATCTAGGATGATCATCATTTTCCAGATCAGAGGAAAAAACATTTGTCACCAGGGATATAAGAGGGTGTGGATGGAGGTTTACAGAATAGAGATTAATATGCCAAAATATAAAGAATAGAGAAAAGTGGACAAAAAAAAGGAATAGAGTAAAATGGACCAAAAATTAAAGAAAAGAGAATACTGAGGTGCTAAAGTATAAGAGTAGAGAATAATGGGCAAAACGTATAAAGAATAGAGAAAAAAATGGCATAAAAAATTAAAGAATACAGAAATGAAGGACCCCCATCCAAACCCTAATATAATCACCAGAGATAATCTTCCCATATGAAAGTTTTGATCAGGCCGACCTTTTACATGTTTTAATGATGAATATCACATTCGTGTTCTCAAGCCGAAAGGGATTATTAACTAAAATAACTTTATTTAGCTCAAACTACATCTATTAGAGGGTCAAATGTATAATGCATCACTTGTAACATAAATGGTAATTCCTTTGTTCTTCGAGTAAGTTATGAGGCGTGGTAGGAGGGGAGTGTCATCCCAGAATTCCCTAGAAAATAAATCATTCTTTCCTGGATCCCAAACAATTAATCATTAATTCCCGAGTCCCGATAGGTGTAAATCCCGAATTCCCGCGAAAATAAAAGCCTACTGCCGAATTCCCCCCCCCCCCCCCCCCCCCCCAAAAATAAAGGCCCAACCCCGACGTCCCAATAAAGATCCTTCCGTCCCTCTTTTACTATTTTTATTTTAAGAGTTCATTTACTGAATAGATTTTTAGTCGCAGCACTATCCCATCCCGCCGTTGACCGCTTCTCATAGTAAAAGTGTATAATCGGAGGAGCGTAAACAAATGCATTAACTTCCATCTCATAAGCTGTTAACGCACTGTCTGTTTCCGCCTCCTTGGACTAGTAAATAATGAAAGAATTAAAACAAATTGTAACTAAAAGCTCCAAAGAGCCTGTGTCGCTTATTCTGGTGTATGTGCATATATACAACAAAGGACAAATGAACATTGTGGACTAGAATAGAATTAGAGGACAACCACCCTTATAAGGAGTCTAACAACGATTTCAACAACAGTTGACTTATTTGTTATAGTAGATCTTGTCTTGCTGATAATTTTTGCTATTTAAATTTTCTACCTATCTTTTATAATTCATATATATATATATATATATATATATAAGATGATAACCAAAAGCAGAAAAAATTGGTAAAAATCGTCATTAATGACTCCATTTAGAAGACGTCGGACGATTTCGGCCATGTTGACTTATTTGTAGATGATTTCTTGCTGGTAATTTATTTTAAAGTAAGGAGATGTGGTATTATTGCCAATGTGACAACTATCCACCAAAGAACAAATTAAGAGGATGTAAGCAATTGTAGGCAACCGTAAGGCCTTCAAACCCACACCGTATAGTCGATTATGAAAGGGCCCAACATGAAAAATATGAAAATTCAATTGGGAAAAGTAACGGTCTAATTTAACAAACAGTTTACGAAAAACAAACATGACAGAGATGAACCAAGAGCAACCACTGTCAGAACTACAGGCTCCTGACTTTGGACAGGCATGTTATGAAATGAATGAAATAAGTTGCATATATATAGAGAGGATTTTACAGTTACCGAAATAGTATCGTTTGCGCCATAAATTTTTATCCAAGTCGTAGATCAATTTTTTTTTTAATGTACACTATACAATGGAAAGCTTCTTTTTTTTGTTTTTTTTTTTGGGGGGGGGTACCAAATATCGAAATAAAAGCAAGTGACGACACCACTTCAATTTACCATCAGTCGATACATCTTATTATTCCCAACAGAAAAGTTTCAAACAATCTCAAATTCAACGATTACAAACATACTTTATTTATCATTAAATCAAACGAAGTTGTGAATACTATAAGTGCTTGTATTTTTCCGAAATGATTTTTTTACTATTTTTTCGTCTGACCTAGATACAACACCACCTTACAAGTATCATCTCAACTGTATGCAACAGTACTCCAATTTATCTGAAAAGGATAGTTATAGCATTTTAGTATACTATAAATTGTAAAAGCATGATATAATATCTCTTTAAGATTAATGATAAACCATGGATTGTTGGCTTCACATTGGCAAGAAATATTAGTAAGACCATGATTATTATTGGAAGACTTACCTCACTGTACCTGCAGACATTTATAATAACTATAAAATTAAGATGTGGTTAATGCTAATGAGACAACTCTCCACCAGACACCAAATGACATAGAAGTTAACAATTATAGGTCACCGTACGGCCTTCAACAATGAGCAAAACCCATACCGCATAGTCAGCCAATGTTTGTTTTGACAACACTTAATTTTAACCTGGCATTATTTCCTTGACTGCCAGCATATTTTTACCTGTATTTTGTCGGCCAAATCAAAGGATGTAGGCATTCAAGGAATATAAACTCTTCAGTGGCGGATCCAGGGGGGGGGGGGGGGGGGGGGGGGGTCCAGGGGTTGGAATCCCCCCTTTTTTGACGATCAATGCTTTTGACATATGGTTGGAACCCCCCTTATCCTGGGTTGGACCCCCCCCCCCCCCCCCTTTTTTTTTAAAATGGCTGGATCCGCCCCTGCCCTTTCATCCCGGTCGATAAAGTTTGCCAAACGTACCAAATTTATTTATTGTTTAATTCGTTTGCGTCCTGCCTAATGTATGGTCGAATTTAAAACATTTCATAAGACGCAAAAAAAATTCAATCATACTAATCAATTCATTTACTATTTCAGATGGCTTCAAAACATCTTTGTCAGCCGTGTGAGACGGTAGATACATTTGTTCCCGCTGTAAAATGGTGTACAGAATGCGAGGAAAAATTATGTAAAGAATGTTTCCAGTTCCACAAAAAAGGTAAAGCGACGAAAAACCATCATGTACTTGATATATCGGAAGCCGATATCTTTCCAACACTGAAAAACCAACATTGTTCAAAGCACACTGGTATGTTGCTGGATTTATTTTGCGTCGATCACGATTCGTTGTCCTGTAGGCAGTGCATGACCGAGGAGCATAGGGCATGCAACAAGTTGCTGCCTTTGGATGTAGCGGCGAAAGATGTTGGTTCATCTGCGTTAGTCATTGACCTGTTAAAAGACTTCGAACTTTCAGTAACTGCTTTGTGTTCTATTGAAACCGCAATCGAAAAAGAATTAAAAGTAGAAGAAGATCAAAGGATAGCTAAACACAAAGACATCACTTCTTTAAAGGCTCGTGTATGTAAACAAATTGAGGAGTCGGCTTCTGTTCTAGGCGAGAAAATTGAGACAGTTTCAAAAGAGCATCGACTTCATCTACAAAAACAAGAACATTCCATCACCGAATCAAAGGTTTTAAATATAAAACACAAAGAGGAATTAGAAAAGGTTATTAAATATGGATCAAATAGCCAAATATTTATCCTTGCCCACGAGCTGAAGTTATTACAAACAAAAGAGGAAGCATTGTCTATCGATATATGTCAAAAACTAGATAAGATTGAAATACATTTACCCAAGAAGCATGAACTACCCTCTTCCTCATTCTTTGGGGATATTTCCATTGAGAAAACGCCGTTAAATTTACATGCTAAGTTCAGTAAAGCCCAAGTGGCCGAAAGTATTCTCCACAATGATTCGGTTAAAACATTATATTGCAAGTCTACGAAAAATTTCAAGTCAAAAATCAGAGGAATTGCTATCACAAAAAACAACGATGTTCTTATATGTAGTGAATTCGATTCTACAGTGTTGCGTTTTTTTTCAAATGGAGAATTTGACAATTCATGTAATGTAAGTGACAAGGCATTTAATATCTGTGTAATTGACGAAACTGACGAGGCCGTTATAACACTTCCACACATAAGGAAAATACAGTTTATTAAGTACATTCCAATGAAAGCCGGTAAAACAGTAAACACTTTTCCACATCCCTGGGGTATTACGTTGTGTAAAGACAAATTAATTGTTGGTACTTTTAAGAAAATGCAGTTTTTTACCACAGACGGCAGTCCGCTACACATTGTTGATGTTCCATGTGTAGATAAAACAGCCATTTGTTACATGCACATTGGTGACAAAAACCAAATATTTGTGTCGTGCCATTCTTTCTATGGTATTACAGAAGATGGCAAACTTGTATTAGAGCACAGTAGACCTCCCAACAGACGAACATATGGCATCTGTGTTGACCGTGATGGCAGCGTTTATGTCGCGTCGCAAAATTCAGTTGTTAGGCTATCAAAAGAAGGAAAAGTTTTAGACCAGGATATTTTAGACAAAGTAAAACAATACGGTGATATATGGGGTATAGCATTTAATAGAACATATACACAGATGTATGCCGCTACTAATGATGGCCTCCAACTAACAGTTTTTGACTTTAAATAAGCTAATTGGTGATGACATTATGAAAGGTCAACATGAACTATACTTCAGAAATCAGTTGTTGATTGAAAGTTAATTTGTTTGTCTATTTTTTTTTTTCAATATAAACCAGAACATCTAAAAAAAAAAAGCTTTAAAGACACAACAAAACAACAGTAAAAATATTAAATAAAACTATTCCAGATATCAAGCTTAATAGTTAGAAAGATGTTGGGTTTACGTCAAGGTGCCAGCAATCCAACAACAACTACGTACATGAAACATTAAGACGACGAAATACATTTGTAGGACTCTAAAGTGCGATGGTACTCTAAAGTGCGATGGTCACGCTAAAGTGCGATGGTCTACGCTGAAGTGCGATGGTGTCAGACGCTAAAGTGCGATGGTTGTTTGTTTCAAATTGCGATCAGATAACACGCTAAAGTGCGATGGTATGACACGCTTAAGTCCGATGGTGTAACGGAAATGTGATTCAGACAGTGGTTTTCGTTTGTTGCTGAGTTCCTATTACTTTTTCGTTTATTGTTTTATTTATACATCAAGCCGTAGTCTTTCTCTTTTGAATTGTTTTATTCTGGTCATTGTATAACCTTATATAGCTTGTTATATGAGTCATGGGCCATGGCTTTACGTTGAAGGCAGTATAATTATAAGTTGCATACATGAATGACATTTGGGTTGGATGGATAGTTCATACTACATCATCTTATTTTTATTTAATTTACAATAGTTAAACAAAAAGTGTAATGGTTACATTGCAGTAGTTAGTTTATCCGGAATTTAGTGGTAGTCGTTTGTTTGTATATTTCATGTTTGCTGTTCTGTTCGTTTATTGTTTTGTATTTAAATGACGTTGCTTTTCTCTCGTTTGAATTGTTTTAAACTGGTTGTTTTGAGGCCCTTTGGTGTTAATGGAATACTATGCGGTGTAAGCCAAATTGAATGTTCCGTTTTAAAGGTCATACTTTAACCTAAAGTTGCATACAATAATGACATTAGTTCTTGGATAGAGAGTTGTCTTATTGGCAATCATATGATGATACTACACATATCATTCTGTCCGTTAGGTTGCTGTCTAGTTAATGTATATTCAATATTTAAAAAAATAACAATTCATATCGTAATTTTTTTTATAGAATTATTCAATTAGAAGGTAAAAAAGAAGACTTTTTTTGGCACCCCAGCTGTTTTGATTCAATTTCTTTTTACAATTTTACAAATTAAGTTCACCTGTTCCAGATAGTGATCATTTGTTTTCTCTCTACTTTTTTTTTCTTGTGTAATAAAAACCCTTAATCTGGACAAACATTCTCTTCATAATGCTGTTTAACGTTGCTAACGTCGATACTTTTGCAGAAAAACGCACTTAAGCGTGTTCAAATGAATTGCACATACCATCGCACTTTAGCGTATCAACCCATCGCACTTTAGCGTGGGCCATCGTGCTTTAGCGTGACCATCGCGGTTGACTATACAATCTGTAAAGCTCTAAATTGGCGTGTCTATAAAAAGTTTGAATAATTCAAACAGAAATAATTATTCAAGATCTAAATGAGCTATTTAGATATAACATAACGCAACCACTGACGAGGTTCCTGAATTGCCTTCATTTCATACGAAAGCCGAGAAGGATCATTCAAAATTCAAAAATTCAAAATTCAATACTCAAAAATCCTACATCAATCGATCATGTTTCCCCACGCTTACGAAAGCCAACAAAGATATCACTTTAATATACTACTGAAAGCTGTTTTATAAAGTTTGTAAGAACACGAACCCATTAAAACAAGGCAAATGGTCCGTAAAACTTTCATAGGGATGCATCTAATTTTATTCACAACTCTTGGTAAAACAGCGTCCTTGCAAGCATGCAGGTATACCCTCTATCAAGAAAAATAAGAAAGGAAACGCAATCCCTATACTATCGTATCGTATCGTATCGTATATATATTCAGTGTGCAGGCACAGCTGGAATGTCGCTTCACTGAAATGGAACGTTCACAATGGAAAAATTGAAATCATCGCTTTTTCGTAAAGTTTTAGATATCAACCAACACTGTTGTCAATTTCTGAATAATATACAGACTTTACTGTACCTGTGGTATCGTTATATCAGGTTCTTTGATTTAAGGGACACATCTTTTGTATAAATTGTTATTTTTCTCTCGTCATGAATATTCATGCAATATTTGCCACTGGAGGTTAAGCAAACGACAACCAATCTCTCTTCATAATATGAGTTTGTATAAACAACAGACATATTTTGTGTATCCTTTATCAAATTTTGGTAATTTTGTGTTGTTATATCAAAAACGAGTCAAGTTTTTGACGATTTTCGTTTCTATTGTTTAGGAGTCACGGTCTGTGATAGAACAAAAGTTGACACTTTTTTCATTAAATTACGTATTTAATTTAAACATTCATAAAGATAAGTGTATTGAACATATGTATAAATATGTAATTATATAAAATCGAATGAAGTCTAGGGATTGCCCAGAATCGGTGAATATTATACAAAAGTCCAATTAAACAAAGCACACAATTCATATATAATAATTTCAAGTGAGGTGCATCGATATGATCTACGTAAAACTGGTCACAAATACAATGTTTTCTAAAATAAATGCAAACAATAAATACTAGTACTGTAAATATCAGTGACACGTTCTACAGTTGAACTCGACAACCCAGGACACTCGGTTGTTGACCTCGATTGATTTGAGAATGAATATTAGATCATATTAGTAGCTGATAAATAATTAGGCAAGTGAGGTGCATCGATATGATCTACTAAGATTGTTATCATAAATATATGATACATAAGAAAAATGCACAAAAAGCAGCAATAATAAAGTTTGTATTTCTCCCTTCTGGACACTCGCATGACCGACATACAGTCAACAAACACACAAGGGGCGAAGAAAAGGGCTACCACACATTAAAATAAATTTATAATAAACATGTATACACATATACATTATATGACAATAACCAAGTGTGTTTCAAAACACTTGATAAGTATTTAATTTACAACCGTTTACATATACATGTATAAGATATAAAGGTAATGTTGAACATACAAAACTTGAAAATCGTTCTCCTGTTTTTTAAACAGTCACCCATTACTTAGGATGCAAATCTTATCGTAAACATGTCAAAGGTGAAAGTCGGTATTATCTGTTTCAGGCATAAAAATGATAAAAATGACCGGAACAGTTTCTGATATATTACTATGATAAACGTATTTTGGAATGTTTGAAAGTTAATAATGTTTTCAAATTCACAGTGTGGGAACGGAACTGTACGGTTTTTTAATATTTTGGTCATTCGGGAGACTGTCAAGCGGGGCTCCGACATTTGTCAAAACAACAAGTTGCTGAATGTAAGTTTTGATTAACCAACACGTTTCAATATTAAGTTTCTGCTTCAAGATTTGGTAACGAAAACATTCTACATAATTATATATATAGACCAATCAAATATTGTAAGCGACTTATGCAGCCAGACGTTTTCCCTTAAATGGTTGAGTTCCGAGTAAATCGCTCAAATTTCTCCATCAACAGCGAATACAATTTCAAAAAAAATCAAAATGATAATCGTCACTACAACAATTTTTACAATTAATCCTCTGGTGATATAAAGTATAACCATTCTGAAAGTTTGATAACGATCGTCTCAGTAGAATAATAGTAAATCAATTTTCTTGATGTTGGATAATTTTATTGACTGTTCAATCGCTTGCTCGCTTACTGTACAATCACTTGGAGCCTTTCTGTACAATCACTTGGGCAAAATAATAAAATAGATTGCATATTTATTTCATTGTTTTCTACTTCTTCACTCAATATTGATGTATTAAATATATAAATAAGAGTGAGCATAAATTTAGTCATTGTTTGCCAATTAATCTTCAATCAAGTACACCATTTTAACACACACGTAGTTTTTCTATATCAGAGACATCGAAAATCAGTATACAAGACAAAAACATACAGCACACATGATAATAAATCTCGATTAAAAAAATAAAGCTCGTCACACAAAATTCAGTCAATAAAGTCTTTATTTCAAATATTCCATTATTTTCGATATCAAAATTTAAATTGACTTTTAAGTTTTCTGAATTGATTTCAACTTTGATCACAATATAAAAAATGCGAAGATTCCCTCTGTTTTCTGTGACAGCTAATTCTTTATACTTATAAATATTACGTCCTGAATATGCACGAACTAATTGCCACTGGACGATAATCAAGCACCAATCAATCAAATAATATTTATTTACATACACATTTCATAATGTTTTACATGGAATACAATTTAGGTTTCAATCTTTTACTAGGATACACATCATGGACGGAAACGAGATTTTCAAATGTATATATTGTCAACTGACGACACGGGATTTCGGAGAGATTATAGACCATAACATAATAAATCATGATGATGTTTTGTTAAAAATTAAAATCGTAAAGACTTTTCAAACAGCCACACAGGAAAGAACGAAAAATTACAATATCATTTCAAACGAAATTTTGAGAAATGGAAAAAATGATAATTCCAAATAAAGAGACAATGACATTGAAAATTTCGAGACTTCCCGAGGATAATGATATATTTTTGCACTTTCAAGAAAATAAAAGGTCTAAAATGGAATCACCTTTAGAGAGAGAACTCTCTGAAAGTGCAAGTGAATTTATTCACGACCAAATACAAGATTAACCAATAACACAATCTGATTTGCAGGATGAACAGGAAGAAAACATTATAGAAACTCACGAAGAACTGCTTTTAGATACTGATAACTCACTGGAATTATATGAACTTTTACCGGCAGTTATACAAACGCTTAAGAATGAAGAGGAAATGGACTCTTACGTTCAGTTCAATAGGCTTATAGCCGGGAATAAATTGCCTCTTAAAAATATTGCATTCCTGTTATTTAAGGATGTTGTTTCGTGGTATTCGTTGGACGACTCGCATAAAATGCGTTATTCCCCGGAGGTGAAACAGTTTTGGAGAGTAGGCCTCAATCTCTTTAAGGGGAGGTTTTTTAGATTTATGAGTGGCATGAACAATCAA